CAGAAGTGAAGATGATGATTTTCATTTTCCTTGGTGAATAAAATGCAAAACAGAAAAATTAAAATGCATAGAAAGGCTCAACTTTATGGCACTCCACTTGTTCTCACACATTTTAAACACCCAAATCCATCTTCAAATACCCCATTCATTCAAGGTACAAGATCAGAAAGCAGAATGTTTTGGCACTGCTTGAGAGTTACAAATATAGAATTTCCCTAGATTCTAGAGAAAAAAAAAAAAAGTTGTACCAAGGACCAGATGCATTATACACATAGCATAGCCCCAGACTAGAATTTGTTTGGATTAGTTGATTCCTAATAATTCTTGAAAACTAGGTACTCAGAATAACTGTGTACTCTATATAAAATGCATAACTGCAAAAAGAATGAGGGGGGAGTGAATGGGTTAAGTAAAATGGAAGGGGTGCCTAATTACAAACTATTAACAGTACTGCCTACAAAACATTATATTCACAATGTTCAGTTTCCTTAAGGAAGAAATAAATCAATTCTTTTTTTTTTCTCCTAAGGATAAACCATTAATAAATCACAAAAATAATGGGAATGTAGGTAACCAGGTGTTCTTTTTTTTTCTTAAGCTCATGAAGTGCAGAATAAGCAACTAGAAGTCATGACTTGAGTAGCATAATTGATTAAAGCAAAGAAGGCTCATGAGCCTGTATTAAGGCCAAAGGAAATCAAAATATACTCAGGTTGCAGCGTGTGCTCATAAAAAAGCTCTCAATTGGATTTCAGAAGAAGTATTGATCTATAGCTCTGTATCCTCTCTCTTCTTGGCTACTATGTATGATTGGGGTCAGTTACCTCCTACAAGAGAGTTCTCTGTGGAAGCCCTGGCTCATGTGGATAAAAGACAAAAAATGTAATATTGTATTTTTATTAAGAAACTTTATTTGTGAAAGCTTATAGATCTATCTGTATGAAAAGCTAGACATAGTCAAAACAACAACAACAAGTTTAACTGGAAACTTTTAAAAGTAAACTCAACCAGATAAGAGTTTTGTATAAGCTTACTTATAAAGCTTTACAAGATAGCACATTTACTCATCAATGGTCAGTTTCCTTTTTGGAATATAAAAATACTTCACAACTTTTCCATACAAAATTGGTTACCAATATTCAGAAGAAAAAACAACAACAACAACCACAACAACAACAAAAAAAAAAACCAAAAAAACAAAGTACCTTGATGGTCCCTCCAAGTATAAAGCAGAATATTCTATAGATAATCCCTACTTGTCTTCACTAGGATAATTCGACCAAAAGTCACTGTCTCTACCTCTCTCCCTTTTTCTTTAAATATAAATATTGGCACTTCCTGTTTATATTGATCAAACTTTCATATTTCTTAAGCAGTAACTTCTTGCACGATCACATTCCACAAAGGTATTTCAAGTTTAAGAAAAAAAAGAAATGATACAGTGTCAAAAGGCTATGTCTACACATTCCCTGCACACAGTTCTCCCTGTTCCTTTCCCCATGCCTTCAGTCAATGTTGATGCTCTATTTACACCATGCTCCAATGAGGCAGCGAACACTCTTTGTCTTTGTCTTCCCATCTAAATTGTCTGGACCAGGCTTGATTGCCTGCCTGTGAATATGTAAATGGCTATCTATATGCTTTAAAGGATTTACCTTTAAAACACTGCAAGAAACTTCCAAAGATGGGTTAGAAATTAGTAGCAATAAGATTGATCAGGAAGTAGCATATAGCAGAAAAGAAGATATAGTTCAGCACAGAGATTGAATAAGGAAAGAAGAGCCAATTCTGATTTTTTTTCCCCTTTCCTTTCTCTACCTTAGGTCTTCAGGCTTAGTCTCTGTGATGAGAATCCCCACAGAAACTGAAAACCTTGCTCCACACTGGACATGCCCCGTTGTAAAGGCAGGTATTAGTTCTAAGTGGTGGCAGATACTACCCCATAGCAGCATTTGAATTCCTGAATGGGCCAGACAGCTCTTAGCCTAAGTACTCCACCACCCATAGAGAATAGGCCAAAAGGAAAGTAAATGTGTTCATTATCTTAAGTGGCTCATTCAGTAGACCCCCTTATCAAGCAGCAGAGAAGGGGACCACTTTGTCTTAAAACTCAAGGTACCAGCATCCTTTCATTCAGATAAAAACTACAGATCCATGGCTTTCATTTCTATCATATTCCAAGCAGCAAGGAGGCAAGGAAACAGAAGTCAAGGATGGAAACAAGAGCTTAGGAAAAAGGAAATATTTCCCCCCATGGGACCTGAAGTCACATGAGCAGAACAGATGAAAAATGTGAATGTGAGCTAAACTGGGACTCCTCACCAGCAGCAAGGACAACACTGTGCCAAAGCCCTGAAATGAAAACTGCACTTGTCCCCCATTTGTGTGTATGAATAATGTTGCAACCTCAGAAGGAAAAAAAAAGTGAAGGGGGGGGCAAAGTACAGCATCATTTTCCTTTCTTTTCTTAAGATTGTAAGACCTATAAATGAAAATCCATTTTTTTAAGGAAGCTGTGTAATCTTCCATTTATAATGATTTCTACTATTGATGGAGTCAGAACAGGTCTTGTGGTAGGCAAATGATTCTCACTTTATGCTCCAATTCAGGTCTTGATTAAAAGGGGCAAAGGCAAAAACAACAACAACAACAACAACAACAACAACAACAACACACACACACACACACACACATAATCTACCAGCCAGGAAAAAAAAGGAAGAAAAGAAAACAATTGACCACCACCAACAAAAATATAGATCACTCACACCTAATTGTTCCAAAGACAACAACTGTCTCACTGCTCATGTGAACACTGACACCATTTACAGAATTTTTCTTCTCCTTGGGGTGGAAGGTACTGCCAAATGAATCATTATTTATTAACCAGGCTGCTGCTCACATTTGCACACTCTAGGAAGGGAGTTTGGAAGGGTGGAAACAACACTGGGCTTTCCCTTAAAGACCCCTGAAAGGGAACACAGAAGGTAAATCAATTGGAGGAATTAAGCATCAGTTGTACTCCCTTACTACCTAATGATTCTCAGTCACTGTGGACACTAACCCAACTCCAACTAACTAGGTAGCCCCTATGGCTGGAAGGAGAACATCCCATTTACCTGCTTCATAAAAAAAAAAAAAAAGGCATTAAAAGAAGAAATCCAAAATCTTGTTGCTCTAAGAAGATATACACCCCCAAATTACAGAATATTCAAATACACAGTTTCTTTATTCCCAGTCTTTGCTTAAACAATTAGCCTTTTTGCAAAACTCAAGTCTGTTTTCTACTACCCCACCCCAAAGGGTCTTTCCACTTCCAAGGATAGGTGGATCTCTCACTGATGATTGCCTTTGCCCAGGGCTGGCAAGTATCAAGTTACTGTCTTGTTTGCCATTCTGACTTGTGGTAGGATCCCTCCCTTCCACCAGCACCCAATTTATAGTCCTTGTCTATTTCTCCAATTCCCACCATGATATTGCTGTGCATATTGACTCTTTGTCCTGGGGCTCATAAAAACAGAATTAATAATTTCTTTGAAAAAATGTTTAAATGTCCAAATAGTAATGCCTAATCCAGATAATAACTAAGACATACAAAGGGCTATGAAATTCCTGAATCTAAACAATTGACTCTTTTTGAAGGAGGTACTGAAGAGTTAATGGAGGACACAGCTCCTTGCTTCCTAGATGCTATGATCCAAAATATTAAAGCCAGATAAAGGCAGTATAATTAAAGCATTTTTGCAGAGTGGTACTGTTCAGAACTCCAACTGGCAGTTTCTGTGTTTGTCCTAAATAACCTTCACAGGTTGCAGAAAAGTGTTACCAGATCCCAATCAATTGTCAGATTAAGCTAGTTCCTGAGGGATTTTAGTGTAAGACCTTAAACCAGGGAGATAATGCTGATAGTGGGAGAGAAGATTTTCATATATCTTAGCAGTGAACAATTTGCCTTTATCAAAATATCAGTCTTCAGTAAATCGGGGAGTGATGCCAATAATTTAGTAGAGAAAGGAGAGGGTGCATGCAAAGGGAGCTACTTCCTAATGGTTGGGTGCTTTGCACATACAGATGACAAAAATCATCCCACTCTAGCTTTCCTTATTTTTCAGACCCAGATGTGAAGGGACCAGGTGGGGGATGGGAAAGTATTATAACCTGAGCATCTGGAAACAGGAAAAAAAAATCTTTCTTGGAGGGGAATGGGGTGGCGGGGTGGGGGGGGGGTTGGTGGAGGCGCGCTCCATTGTCAGGAATACTGACTGGCGAACAGCAGCTCTGCAGGTCTTCCATCGTATTTCCCTCTGGTTAACTTAATCTCACTCGCCACAGAATCAATTTCAGCACCTTCCAGATAGCCACTGGCGAATTTTGGGGTCATCAGTTAAGCCTCCTCACCATTGATTTTTTTTTTCCCTCCCTCCATTCTCTCCCCTCCTCCCCTCAATTGTTTCTTATTAACTCTTCCAGGTGGCAGCCGGCTGGGTAGGGCGGCTTCCCGGTTTATATACATCATTTTATATACATACTTGGCTCAAATGGCTGCTTCTATTATATTACAGGCTCTTTCAAACGGCCAAACTTCCTTTTGTTTTCAGTTTTGTTTGAGAGTGTTTCTTTGGTATTTTGAAGAGGTGGGGATGTTTATAGGTTCCCCCCCCCCCCACTCGGACACACACACCCCTTAAATTCAAGCCTAGCATTTCTGCAGTCATCAGGGACGCACTGGCTTTAACCCTTTGAACAGAGAGGGGGAAAAAGACCTCTTGTCACACTTGTCCGAGACTCAGGAAGGGGGAGGAGGAGCCTTGAGACTTCCTCCTAGAGAACAAAATTTTATTCTTTCTTTGGCAATATGAACCAGTTTTCACACAGTACTCCAGACACGAGTCTGGAGCGGTTGCTGAAAGGGGACGGGGGGAGACGCAGGAGCCCCAAAGGGAAGAGTATTTGTAGGCATACTTTAAATCAAAGGCAAGAAGGCTTTCATTTTTACTTACGAAATTTGGGGCTGGTGCTAGTTTCTGGTGTGTTGGTGGTAGAGGAGGAGGAAGAGGAAGAGGAGGAGGAGGAGGAGGAGGAGGAGGAAGAATCCTGAAAGGGAGACAGGGTCCAGGAGGGAGTTGAGTCGTGGAGGTAGGAGGAGGTAGCGTATGCCGCAGTGGGCCAAGAGGGCATTGGCTGGGTACTGGGGGCCCCTGGCAGGGGTGGGCGGGAACCCTGCGTGCTGCTGCTGAAGAAGGGGACCGTGGTGGAGAGTACTGTCGGGGGGGCTGCGGTGTGCCGCACCGTTGTGGAGCGGGGGCTGGCCCGGATGGGCACCCTGTGCCCAGGGAAGCGAGTGGGTGCCCGCGTGATGGTGGTCAGACGAGTGCTAATCCGGTTGGGCGTCCTGGAGGAGGCGGTGCCGGAGGACGGGGTAGAGGTGGAGGTGGATGTGGTGGTCGTGGTCGTGGTGGTCTCCATGCCCTTGGGGAAAGAGCTGGGCTTGGAGAGGAAAAAGGGGTCCTGGCCGATCCCCTTGGAGTCCACCAAGTCGGTGGGCACGTACTCCTTGACAGAACCCACCACGATCCATTTAAGGAGCATGAGGCTGAGCCCCAGGCCGATGAAGCCGATGAACAGGGGCACCACGCAAAGCCAAGTCTGCTGCCGGTTCCATACAATGCAGTTGCTACAGCGTAACTCCCGGGGGGGCTCGGCCGCCCCTTCCCCGTCCGGGCCCCCGCCCGCCGCCGCTGCTGCCCCTTCCTCGGCGGCGGCAGCGGCAGTGGCCGCTGTGGCAGCAGCGGCAGAAGCGGCACCAGGTGGGGAGGCACCGCTCGCCCCTTCACTCATCCTAGGAGCCTTTTCACCTTCGCCCCCCGCGGGGAATCCAGAGAGACATCAGGGACCTGGAGCCGGCGGGCGGAAAACAGCAGCGGCGGCGGCGGCGGCGGCAGCGGCAGCAGCAGCAGCGGCAGTAGCATGCGAATCTTCTCCCTTCCCCCACTCGCCCTCCCTCCCCCCACTAAAAAAAAGGGGGGGAGAGAGACAGTGAGAGGGGAAGGAGGCGCGGAAAGAAAAGGGGGAGGGGAGGGAGGAAAGGAGTAGGGGAAAAAAACCCTTCCCCCCAAAATCACCAGTCTTCCAGGCTTGAAGTCAGTTAATCGCGGGGCATTGGTCCTTTCCCAAAATGAGCTCTCCTCCTGTGTTGGCCCCCGAGTGTCTGCCGAATCAGCCCCGTCACCATGCTGTCTCCATCCACACACAAGAGCCTTTCCAACATCCTCCTCCTTTGCCCCTTGGCGCTCCCCGGGGTTCTTCGCTCACAACCCCCACCACCACCCGTCTCCCTCCCTTCCCCCCCCTTCCCCCCCCTTCTTCCTTTGAATCCTTGCAAGTCACAGCAATCAACCTTCCGGATTTTTTACGATCCCAGCCATCCGGATGGTGAAACACCAAGCCACATTCCAACACAGGGAACCAGTCGCACTTTATGGGCGATTTTTCACCCACCCTTCTTCAATTTTTTTTTCCCTCTCTTTCCTCTCCTCCCTCTTCTCTCTAGCCTTGGTGCACTAGCATTCCTAGGCTGCTTCTTTGAGAGCGACGGAGCAGCGAAATGCACCTGTTATTCAGCGGTCCTGCAGCCAACCCTTGGACAGCACTTTAAGAGAGAGACCAATCCGAAAGCAGAGCGGAGGGAGAGGAGACCACAGCTTTTCCTTCTCGCCTTTTCCCTTACCAGGATCAGCACCAACTCCAGGACCAACCTGACATCCGAACTCAGGCAAGAGCTTTCTCCAGCATCAGTGGTCCAATGATAAAGGAAAATAGAGACAGAGTCAGGTTAGGGGCCAGATATCCGAGAAAAAGGCAAAGAAAATCCACATTTTTTTAAAGCACACCCTGTTGATGTCCAAACCAGTTATTATTATTATTATTTTTTTTTAAAGCGGGAGTGGGGGAAAGAGGAAACATCTGTAGAGTCACTGGATAGAGATACAGGCAGAAGGCTGCTTTTGCCAACCTTGCAGTTCCCCGATTCAATTGTGTATTCCTAGTGCAGAGTCAAAGGAAGCAGGCTGGGTTTCAGAAAAAGTGTAGCGCCTCCCACCAAAGCCTAATGGTGGTTTCTTAATGCGCATAAGATAAATAAATGATCCAAGCAAGCCTCAACGCTCCCCCTCCCCCCGTTCCCCACCCCAGAGGTGGATGGCAAAATCCGTTTTTCGACAGGTTCTGAGCCCATCTCGGGTGCTAATCCAATAGGGTTTCATCTGAAGCTGGAGGGAATGTGCATGTGTGACTGACTGTATGTCTGCGGATATGTGTGCCAGCCAACGCAGCCAACTGTGGTTTAGAGGGAGACAGATACCTTCACACAGGATTTCCTGCAAGAGATATAATGGGACAGTCTTCTTTCTACAGTATTTGCAAAAAGTACCTGAATCAAGTGGGTTAGAAAGCAGCATTCCCTCAAAGAAGTTCCCCCTTCTCTCTTTTCCCCTTAAATATACAGCATACATGTGTATATACATATATATATATACACACACACATATATATGTCCATGTATACATATATATGTATATGTGTGTTCGTGGGCAATTCTTGTTGTGCTTCAAGATAACTCCTTGTTATAACCATGTAAGATTGTTGTTTAAAGCTCCTCCCTCCTCATTAAAAAAATGATGTAAGCAAGGGGGTCGAATAGAAGATTGAGGCAAAATGGATAACCATTAGAAGAGCCCTAGATATAGTATTGAAGAAATTAGGACTAGCAGTAGTTGAAATTCTTCTTAACGCAATTCTAGTTTACATTATAGCAGGGCGGAAAGTAGGAACCAGAAAGGATTGGGGTGAGACCTTTGATTTTCTTCCCTATGGAACTCTGGAGTAAGGAGAATTTCTCTACAATACCAATAGACACCTCTGAAACGTCTACTCCTAGAGAATCTCCTAGCGGGCTAATAGGTTGAGTGTTTCGCCCAAGGTCACAAAGTCAGTTTGTATCAGAGATAGTATTTAAATCCAGGTCTTCTGGCTCGGAGTCCAACTCTCAACTACAGAAGAAAAGAACCTCAGAAGTTACTTCATAAATGCTTATCACAACAAAGAGTATTCCCCTTCAAACTCCACTCCTATCCCACTCTTCCTAAGACTATCAACACCCAGAGTTGTTTTGTAGTTTTTTTTTTTTTTTTTTAACAAACCAACCATGTTTGGCCAGCTTAATTAGGACAGAGGATGCCTCTGCTTCCCTAGGCTTTAAGAGCCTCCCTTAGGGGTGTAGATTTCTCAAGTGGCATACATTTTGCTGAAGAATGGAGAGTGAAGTGAAGAAAACTTGGGTAAAAAAAGAAGAGGAAGAATAAGAAAAGAAAGAAGAAAAGGAAGAAGAAGGGGAGAAAAGGAGGAGAGGGGTGGGGAAGAGAGACTTTCCTTTCTTAAAATAATGTTTTCTATCAGGAAAATGCTATGAAAATGATTTTGGTAATAGTGATGCTTTCGGAATTTTGTTCTTCTGAAGTTCTGGAAAATTTCTATGCAGAATTGTTTTTATTGATTTTAGTTTATAGAATACCCCCACTTTTCTGGAATTGATGAGCTGGAGTTTTTTTTTTAATGAAGAAATTAACCTCATGCATATGCACATACATTCCTATTTCCTCATCTTAAAAACAAACACACATTTTAAACCCTTTCAGCACAAGAAGTCTCACTGTTTAAAAACCTACAGACATTTACTATGGCCATTTTTCACCAAGGCAATACAACAGGGCAAAAAATAGTTAGTTTTCCAAGCAAGATGCGGTGAAAAGACAGCAGGTGTCATAAATGGAAAATCACTTCTTAAAGAGATGTCATCATTGACTTCCCAATTTTTCCCTGACCTCCTCACTCTACATAGTAATCCCTTTGCCTCTTAAAGTTCCTTTGATTTTGGTTTCATCCCACTCACGATTTGAAACATCAGTTTTCTTTCTTTTGTCTGTATTTATTATTTCCTTCATTGATCTAAGACTAAGATTCTAAGATCTAGAACTAGTATTCTAAGTTATTGGAAGGTATCTTGGAGGCCATCTATTCCAAAGTCTTATTTTTAAAGATAAAGAATGAAGGTACACAGAGATTAAGTGATCAAATAAGGTCCAAAGTCAAACAAGCTAGCAAGAGCAAATATGGGATTGAAACCTAACTCCTTTTTCAGTTCCAGTGCTCTTTCCATTGTACTGTATTCTTGGCCTAAAAGAACTGGGTAGGGATGACATATGGAGCCCTACCTGAATTAAAGTGTCCTGGCAGGCAGAATCACTCCACTGAAGCAGATCAGCAAATTGTAATTTCTAACAATAATGAGTTGCTGATGCATTTAGAGATTAAGTGATTGGTCCTTGGTCTCACAGGTAGTAGATGCCAGAAGCCTGACTTTAATCTAGTTCTTTCTACCTCCAACTCTTATTTTACCAATAAGGAAATGGAGGTCAAGAAACATTATGTGACTTTCTCTTGTTCTCTCTGCCCCCCCCCAAAAAAACCAAACAGCTCTAGATTTCATCCCATGCTCTCTCATGTCAAATGCTTTCCTCTTTCCACCACCCTGTTCTGATTGCTCACAAATTCCTTCAGCATTATGACTGTTTTCAAACAAAGTTTATAAAACCTCTCCCTGTTCTATAAAACCATTTCCCTTTTCTACTTTGTATAACAACACAGTTCTTAGGTCCCCAGTGATCTAACTTCTCCCAACTCCTGAGCCATGTACTTCAACTCCCATTTGCTGCTCAGAAAAAAAAAAATGTCATAACATAAGGAAAATGGGGGGTGGGAAGAGTCCTTTACCTGATAGCCAGGTGTCTAGCATTCCATACCAGCCTATCCAAGAGATTTTGGCTCATTTGGTGATCATTAACTTGCATTTTTATTGTTAGACTCCCTGGCAGCAGGTACTAAGTATTGCCAAAGAAATCAACCTGGGAATTCCACAGCTGACATCAGAGAAGGGGGCGGTCATTTGGAATTCCAGCAAGTTGCCAGCCAGTCTCATGTTAATTTGGTGCAGGTGTTTGGTGATTGGCAGTTTTTTGGGTTTTTTTTGTGGGGTTAGAGGAGGATAGAAAGTGGATTCTTCTTTCTCAAAAACCCAGAAACAGGTCCTAGATTAAGAGTTCTGTTAAATAGAGCAGCTCCCCAAATCAATCTTCTAAAGACTTACAATATGTGTTTGTTGGAGCATGCTGACAATTTTTGTACAAGCATTATCATCTGCTTCACATCAAGAAGAGATCTTTGTGAAAGCATCAGCACAGTTGGTAAATTGTTCACCTTATGACCTGAGTAATACCTAGACCACACATGCTAATTTAAAGCTCTGTCTTCCCAAGGTGCATCTACAGTCTGAGCAGCTCAATACCGTGAGTTCCCCAATGAGCCTGTACAATGACATAAATAACAAGAAATGCATAGCCTGGAGGGGCAATGGGTAATATGTTTTACTTTTGCTCATTATGGTGACTGCTTCTGACTGTGCCCTTGGTGGGTGAGAGGGCAACTGCAACCATCGGAATTTAATGTTCACACCACTCATCCTTGCTTGCAAGTTGTAACTCCTCAGTGAAGTACCATTTGCCCAGCAGCCAGTCTCTCTGTCACCAGTCAATGTATTGAGGCTACTGACAAAGAGAGCAGTTCTTTTAGGCTTAGAGAAAGGAAACTCACTGCAAATGTACTGGGGACTCCATGGTACTCCATTACTGAGAAATGCCAGTTCCTAGACAACCTTGACTATGACTTCTTCCTTAGTTTTCCTGATGTATTTGGGTTTTATCACTGACAACCCCTCTACTGGCTTA